AATGGTTCTATTGAGATTCTTTTGGTTTGGAGTGGCCCAGTTTTTTGGTGGGTGAATACGTAGGATTCGGATCCCAATTCGGGACAAAAAGGCGAAATATGGTAGGGAACATTTACCTTTAGTATTTTTAGCCAAAACTTCACTCTCAATAACTTTAGACACTTTTTCATGTATCATTTCATATTCCAGCTATTCCTCAAAAAACATGTTTTGGATATCATGCCATTCAAATTTCAAATGTACATTTAAAAAAATTGTAGTTTTTGTATTACTACCCCAAGCTTCCATAGGCGGGTCAAAAATGAACCACATGCATTTTCTATGGAATTTCTTTTTTTTCAAAATGTAAAAAAAATGTCTAAAATTATAGATAGTGAAACATAAAATACAAAATATTTCTAGTGTGAACCAAAATATAATACAAAATATTATACAAGTGATTTTTCTTAACCAAAATGACAACAATGGCATAAAAACCCATATTATTCCAATACGGGTCCTTTTTGAACCACTTATGGAAGAGTGTAGGGTCCAGTCACTCGAACAGGAATGATCTTGTAAAAAAAGAACAGACTCACCAATGTCCTCTATTTTAAGTTCCGTCACATTATTTAAACATTTCTTTATTAACTTAATGAAAGGCAAAGTGATTCCAGTTGATTGCCATCATCTTTGGCTTTCATTAAGTAAAAAAAGTAAAAAAAGGCCTGTCATCTGAACATGTTTTGAGAATATAACGATACACGATGAATAGCATATAATTAACACCATGATAATGACAATGTGAGATGGAGTTTATGTTATTGCGGATATTATTGTAAGTATTGGGGTAACCAAATATACTTGACACCAAAATAATCTTTTTATCTACAAACCAGTATTTGCTGAGCGGCTCTGCCCAGGGTCCTCCTGAATCCCCTGAGCAGCTTTTGTTTACCCAGGCTACTCAGAGGCTGATCAGACTGCTCTGTTTTCACCAGAAATGCTGATATTTAACACAATGTCAATGTGTTTAAGAGGCTGTTGTATTTGTTAAAGAATATTATTTACAGAAGTCAAATGTTAGCAGGCGATGGGATTCAGCTCCGACTCTCAGTATGAACACAGACTGCAAATCAGCGTAATCACCAGATGCCTGCTCTCTAATGCATAATGCATCAGACTGTTATTGCAAGTCTGCAGGGGAAACACAGCAGAGATTTACATTAATATTGCATCAAGCTACAGTGACATCAAAGGGCTAATGGAGGCGACCCTGCGTGTGTGTGTTATCATTAATGAAGAGAACCCAGTGGCCTGTGCTTGGCCTCTATCGAGTGTCAGGTGGAGAGGTGAAAATAATGTGTTAAGTTAGTTCAAACTCAAGGAACAGACAGACATGAACAAACAGGCTCATGGATAAAGGTTCAATAGAAAGCACTCAGCTCTTTAATCCATGTAAGGCAAATAAATAAAAGTGAGTTTTAATTTCCATCCTTGGCTTTGCACTTCTCTTCTATCGTTTTGGTCTCCGTCTGCATAACATCTAGTGGTTCATGTACGGTATATATAATATTTTGCTCTATATTTTTTTACTGTAAATTTGTATTTTCACATGTATATTTTTAACTTTTTTAATGCTATTTTATTTCTATTTGAGATTATTACATTTTGGATTGTTTATTTATAGTCTTTTAATTTCTCTAATGTACAATGCCATGTCTTATGCTGCTGCAACGCGAACATTTCCAAAATAAAGTACTTCTTATCTTATCTTAAATAACAACATCCAGGTGCCAGAGCGTATGCACATATTCCAAAAGGAGGCTACAAAAATAGCGGACACAGAATAAATAGAAAAATACATTGTATTAATCTCTGACTTCCTGTGTTCCCTCAGATGACAGTGCGTCAGCAGCCAGCAGCATGGAGGTCACCGACCGCATCGCCTCCCTGGAGCAGAGGGTCCAGATGCAGGAGGACGAGATCCAGCTGCTGAAGTCCGCTCTGGCAGATGTGGTGCGCCGGCTCAACGTGTCCGAGGAGCAGCAGGCCATGGGGTCTCGCAGAGGACCCACCAAAGGTAACACACACACAAAGCTTTATAATGCGCTTTTCTGTTACTTATAAGGGTCAGCAGTTCTTCTGGTTTACATGTTTTAGAGGTATTATCCTTCCTGTCCATTACACTCTCTTTCCTGATGATGTCTCCTTTCCTCTAAATCCTGCTTATCTCCTCCCTATCCCTGCTTTTCTCTCCTTCTGGACTGTTTTGTATTGTTGTTTTTAAATGTATTGTGTGTGTATAGACCCCCCTTTGATGAGAAAGTCGCCCTCAGCACACAGCAATGTTGGGAAGTCAGGTAGGCTTACTGTGAAGTCTGTCTGCACTAACCAGGCCTGGTGTTGTGTTTACAGTCACTGCCTGCTAGCATATCTTTGTATCCACACCGTGTTGTATTCCAATAGGAAGCACACAGGTACCTTCAGCACTGCACTGTCAATGCACTGTGATCTAAAGACAGACAGAAAAACAATATTCTGCTAATCAGGAAGAATCTGTGTCTGAATTATAGTCGATAAACCCAGTTATAGTTTTAAAGCCATCAATAAACTGTCATGAATGAGAATGAGATGCAAGGTACACAATTGTGCAATAAATCTGCAAATCATCACAAAATAAGAAAGCACTCATCTTAGATTGATCAACCTTTTTTTTGTATGATGTAATAATACTGCATGCATTTAGCTGAGGTGTGTTTGGTACAATTTATCTCTCAAATGGCATCCTCACCGAAGACCCTGTTAAAGTCTGAATGTAAAATAAGCTGCACTTTATGCCCTCAAACTACGCATTCTAAATGATAAAGCAGAACGAGATTATGATTCTGAGCTGCTGCCAGTTTCAGTCTTCGGAGTTGCTGCGGGTGGATGAAGTCTGGGTTTGATTTGGGAGCTGGAGGATGACTCAGACTCAGAGCTGCTCTCCCTTATTGTTCCCCCCTCTGAGCTGCAGGGAGTCAGCAGGCTGCTCCCCTCTACTGAAGCACAATGATCCGTTTCAGAAAGCTTAACTCATGCACACAGACTGCACATGGACACTCAGGAACACAGAAACACACACACTCATCTTCTTGCTAACAAAATGACCACCTCAGTTTGCCACCGCTGTGTAATTATTACCTGAAAGATAACAGGGCAATATGTGTGTGCATGCAAGAGTGTGTGTGTGTGTGTGTCTGCTGGATGAAACAGGGTCTATTAAATATTTATCACTGCAGATAAAGCTGCAGCTTGGATTTGTTATTCTGGGCTGTCCAGACTGCCGTGCATGTGTGTGCGCGTGTGTCAAACCGCTCTCTATCAATTATTTGTGAACATATATCATCTGTATAAAGGATTTCAAATGTTTACGCTTGTGATATATCATTAATTACACTGTGGAAACTCACTGAAGAGTATGATAGAATTGCAAATTGAGTATTTGATGTGTTTTGTAAAGGTCTGCACTCAAGATTTAAACAATTAACATCAAGTGTCGCAGTTTAATTTACGCTTTTAGTTCCATTATTTTTGTACTAAACAACAACAAACATAGAGAGGGTTCCTTATGTTCTACACAACATAACTGCGATCCCTCATTAATTACACAGGCAGACTGTGGACAAAGCAAAGTTTATACTACAAACCTCGGCTTCTGGTGTTCTTAAGAAAGGCAGTAATGTTTTGTTTATAATTTAAAATACCTCGATGTGATTATTGTGATAATTACAACCAATACAATATTTTATATAGCTCAATGTTTGCTTACCATAATTGCTCGTACTACTGACTGAAATAACAACAGGTTAGGTTCGGAAACTTCATAGAAATAAATGTCAAACTAAATAATAATAACATTGTAAAAACATGCAAAATGTCAACAGAGAGTAAAGTCAATAAGTCTGTTACCCAGTGCATGCTGGGATGCTTTCAACTAAACCGTATCCTGTCCTGTTTCACCAATGTCTACCTCCTTCCTCTTATCAAGACAATTACACATCCGGAAATACAATATTTCTGAATCTCACAGGTTACTTTCATGACACCACAGAAGTTGACCCTTTTTTTCCTGAATATCACTTGTTGTTATATTTCTCTTCCAGCCAGGCCAATGATCGCCACGCTGCCATTACGGCCCACCGTCAACAACGGGACCATCGTACCAAAGAAAGGCACTCTGCCCTCCCCAGGATCTGGATCCAGGAAGGACGGCAGCTCAATAGCCAGCAAGAGGTGAGGAAATACAAATAATCTTTAGTTAATGAAATTACTGTGCAACCGATATGTCTGCAGTTATCAATTCGTTAGGTTACGTTTTTATTATGTTGTATATAGTTATAGCTTTTTAGGGACAGCTTTAAGATTATGACGGTTTGGCACTACAGCTCTAAGTCAAAGTGTTTTAGTGTTAAATGTTGCTTTCCTGAATATTTAGGGCTCTTAAAGCTCTTTTTAAAAGTGTTTAATCCAGATACTGCTGCCGGTATCTTCATGATTTATTCCACTTATTGTACGTCGCTTTGGATAAAAGTATCAGCTAAATTAAGTGTAATGTAAAGTAGGTGACACCTCTTTTACTCCAGACATTTAATTTCTCTCAAGACATTTTCTACTCCTCTCTGCTCCATGTCACATAATGGAAGCTTTACATTGTCTCATATCAGCGAAAGAGACAAGACTGACAAACAGACACAGTATCGTCATGTCTGCGTCCTCGTTGTGTGTTTTGTAGATGCATTCGGAGCACAGGTTATCAATCTTGTCTGTCAGAAGAGCAATAGCCTCTTCCTCATCTCTTCATCAATTACCATAATCAGATGAAGCTCCGCAGACAGCAGGGAGCAGCTCCAGTCAGAAGAGCTGTTTCCTCCCCTGTGGAGTTTTCACTTGATTTTCTGTGATTGTATTTCTCCTCTGGAACGATACCGAGAGTTGACTGACTCAGGTTTTGAAATGTTAGAAACACCAAGAAAGACAGTATCAATGAAGAAGATGTGATTTGGTGTATTTCCTTATTTGTGCAGTTTTCTTGTGTTTCTTTGAATGGGTTGAAGCTAAACCCTAGAACTTGTACGAAAGTAATGACAATTCCTTTGTGTTGAAGACGTCATCCTAACCAGGGTTTTTAGATATATTGAAGTATTTGTATTTATTGCCCTTTAAGTTGACACATTTCATTATATTGAGCTGTGCTGAAACATACTGGAATGGGCCAACAAATTACCCTTCAATGAATCATGTGAATGAAGCCATCGGATGATTTAAATTACACGGACTGTTAAAAGTCCTAAGGGCATCTGATTGAAAAACAACTATAACATTCTATTTTTCTGTGTATCTCCCATCCTATAGATTTAACTGAAAGGCATTAAGATATATTTTCAGATTGAGTGACTGGTCACCAATCGTCTCTGTTTCTCTATCTTTATGTATCGTGGCGTTTGTCTTTCCCATCTTTCCTTTCCTGCATGTCCTCCCTCTTGCACTGCCTGTCTCTGATAACATGTCCTGATGTTATATCATGTTTATGTCCTCCTGTCCACCTACAATCTGTCCAAACTCTCCTCTGTGTCTCACTCTTGCAGAATTCTCTACCTGCCCCTCAGGTGAGAGAATCACAAGTTATGATATAACATCACCGTCTGCTCCGATGCATGCAAACCATAACTTTAAAAATCTATTTGCTATTTATCTCATTGCTAAAAATCTCATTTTGTGTTGAAGTCATCGCTCTTTGTGTTGTTTTCAGTCTGTGTCTGGGATTAGTCTAAAAAAACTGCAGATTGAACACAATCCCATCAGTTGGCATACACTCAGCAGCCGTCCCTCCAATGCCCTGTGGCCCAATTAGATTCCTCGTGGGGTAACACTGCAAACACTTTCTCTCTCTTTCTGTCTTTCTATTCTGCTCTTTACTGAATAAACACACACACAGCCACCGGACACTTTTAGGATTTGAATAGACCTCTCTCCCATAGGGTATTAGGTGACTGGGCGTACTGGCCATCGGGTTGCTGATGGAGCCTTTTCATTGTTAGTAACAGGCAGGCTGTCTGAACCGCCAGTATGCAGATTTGCAGTTCCGCACCTCAATGTATGGTCACCAGAGCAAAATTGTGGGAAAACAACAATAACGCATTTATTTGTATTCTCTTTTGCTTTGCTTCCTCTTATCTCTGACACTGCTACTAACACAATTCAAGGCTTCTTTTAATGGGAAGCAGTAATAAAACGGATGTGCACTGAATCATGAAATCTGCTTATATTTGACCAGAGGGCATTTATTAGAGAAGCAGCATCAGGCACTTTTATAACCTTTTTTCTCTCCCTGTCTCTTGTATTGTCATGAAATTGTTGGTCGAACGCACTTATTGTAAGTCGCTTTGGATAAAAGCGTCAGCTAAATGCAATGTAATGTAATGTAATGTATTGCCTCTGTCCACCTGCCTTGGCACCACAGCACTGTGAGGAGAGCCAACTCAAACGAACATGTGGGAACTCTCTCACGGAAAGATTCAGGTGACTCCAAGGGCAACCGAACTCGGGCTGGATCCACCGGCAGCAACTCCAGCGGGAAAAGAAGTGACAGGTAACACAGAAGTCATGCTAAATCAGCTTTTTCTATTACGTGACTCACATATTGGTCTTCTAGTTTGAGAGAGGAGAAGCTGATCTCCTTGTGAAGCAAATCAAAAACATATAATGGTGTATGCTGAATGACAGCTGTCTGTTTACTCATTTACTTTGCAGCAAACAGAGGGACCCCGTGTTCAATGCAGGTAAGAACTAGAGACACCTTTATGGCTCTGTAGGCCAACAGCTATGATAGTTTTATGAGTCATTGAACATTACATACTCAGTGGCCCCCTGTGTCTGTTAAAGTTCAATGCGCTTTTAAGAAATCTTATCAGAAAATAGAATGGCTTATCAGTGTATTGAACGGATTCCTGCCCACTACTAAATATCCTCTACATGTTGTATGTTTAACATCAGTGTCCAACATGTATCATTCTTCATCCATTACCACATCTTCACATCCAAACTTTTATTCATCTTCTTTTAAAAGCTCTTTCTGCGTACTTTATTACATATCATTTATTTATTCTTCTGTTAATTTCATTTCATTCTTAAAGATTTTCGATTTGGGTAAGATCATTTTGGCCATTTACACAATGGATCCACAAAATCTCATAACCTCTGTGTGGAGACTCTATGCAAAACGTACAATATTATGGCAAGCTGCACAAGCCTCCTAGATCCTTTCAAATGAAATGGAATCTGACATAAATCAGTTTTTTACAAATGTAAGCTAGGGAGGCTTAGACAGTAAGATAATTTAGAAGCACAGGATGAGCCACCCATAAAATATTGACAAAGCAGGAAACACGTGGTTACCAGACAATGGGACTGATATGAAATGAAATTAGTATTGATCGGATTTTTCATCTCCAGCATGATATTGATTTTTGTGTAATTTGAACTCTTGTTTTGAATTTGGTTTACACACCTGGCTTTAGTTCAGGCTCCATACTGCCCCGCTTCATCTAACAAACTACTTCATATAAGAGTAGTTTGCATTTTTTTAGCATAAGATCAAACTATAGAAAATATGAGCAAATATGGTCAACATATAAAACAGACAAGGTTAGATACTTCCACTGTTCACCACTTATTGGACATTTTAATTAATTATAGACGACTCTCCTGCATAAAAATCAGATCAGGGCAGCGCCAAGGACATTAACCGCCCCTATAGGTGACGGTTAACCAATACTAATGATACTTGCAGCAGCCAATATAGTGCTTACCTCCAATACATGCAGTGATTACATGCAAAGAGGTTCATTTGATACAACAAAATGTCCTGCAAGCATACGCATGTGTTTGTTTTTATACTTTCACATAGAAAGATAGACTGTAGAGAATCTGAGTATTGTTTTTAATAGACGGCTACAAATAATGAAGCTAAATGTAATCCCTCATCACAGAGGAGCAGAGGGTTGGGACACCATCCACGATCCAATTAGCACTGATTAATTTAAACCATTAAGGCAGCAGCACCGATTAATTAAGAGCATTAAAGACAGAAGCTGCTCTTGGTTAACCAGCAGGAAACAGGAAGTGCACTCATATTAGGCCAGGAGGTGAGGACGCCATGCCACCATTCACCTGGTGCTTGTGTCTTTCTCTGTGACCTTTACAAGGGATGCGACGTGTGACCCACTGCAAAGGTAGGCCCCCCCCCTCCCCTAGCCTGTAGCCCCAAGCCTACACAGCTCTCTGGACACTGCCGATTATTTATTTTGATCTCTGTACATGCTTCATGTTTGCTCTTATCAGCAGTTCTGAGGCAAAGGATAAAATCAGGACTTTTATTTTGAAATTTTAATTCATATCCTGTTTGGAATTTCCTTTCTAAACTTTAAAGATGTCCATCCGTGCACTGATCAGAGAGCTGTCCAGGCGGGAAGGAGTGGGTTGACAAAGTGTGTGTGTGTGTGTGTGTGTTACGTTCCCTTTATCTTTTTTTATACTGAGTTAACTAACACACACGCAAACCTAACCTCCACTGAGAGCTGCGTCACCGTGTGTGTGCAGTGTTTGCACCTGTGTGTCTCCACACTTGTTTTTTAACTGCGGATGAAGCTGCTGCTGCTTCACCAGACTTGTGTGTGTGTGTGTGTTGCTCGCAGCCCCACTTTGTCACCATAGTAACAACACAAAGATTTCTGACACTAGCTTTCTCGCAGTCGCTTTGCTGCTCAGAGGAAGTACATTTGCTGCTGCTCTCTTTATCTCTCTGCCCTTAAAATGAGTATTTGCATTACAAACACATGCAGTCTCTTTTTTGTGGCAGTTACTATTGAAGTCTGTCTGATTTGACTGCTTGTAGTTTTTCACTTGTGGCCGTCTGTTTGTGTGAAGTCCCCTTTAGCAGAGCATTCATAAAGCTGCCTAGAATAAAAAGACCGACTGGAGTTAAATCTAATTTCCTCACAGATATATTGATGTTAAGCCACTCTTGTTACATTATAATTTAATTTTAAGATACTCTGAGTGTTTTAGCCTTGAAAGCATCTACAGTAGATCAGTTGTTCCTAGCATTTATGGTGGGCGACTATTTCAAATGAAGTAGTGTCTGCCTGTGTTCCCTTGTCATAGAATAGATATTCTGGCAGCAGTTTAATCAGTTTAATGTCCCCATAGCTTCAGCTTCATCTGAGTAATGATAAGAGACCTAAAAAGGAAAATAAATGATTTTATTAGATTACCCTAAACGTTTCAATAGCTACTGCTTCAGTGCTGCAGTGGGATGTTGGCCAGTGTTTGGGTGGTTAGTGATAGAAGCCAGTTTCCCTACTTTCCTATTGAATTTGCTTGTGATTTGCTAGTATTATGTTGCTTTCTTTAACTGAGTCACAAAGAATAGCCAAAACATGTCTTACTTATCCTACAAACCCTCCTTCGGCCTTGTTGTATCCGTTTGTCCCCCTCCACCTCCGCCACTCTCCATCACTGGCTCCTCTGCTCTTTTCCCCGTGTACATTATAGTCACAGTTCAGATTTACCTCAGCCGCTCAGCCAAACGGACCAGGGGCAGCTCCGGGGCTTCGTCTGTAACAGCCCGCTCAGCCCCCGGCCCCCAACAAACCTCAGAGAGCAGCAAGGCAGCTAAAAAGGGGGGTACCGCCAAGTTGCCGCAGGGCAGAAAACCCCCAAATTTTAACCTCCAGCGGAGAAATTCGGGGAGTTTGTCGCCGTACTCTCCCCTTGATACACCCAGTTATCGCAGCCCAGTCAAGTCTCCCAGCCAGTACTTCCAGATTTGTTACTAGCAATGCTGGGAAATATAGAATATAAAGTCACTTCTTTTTAATATGATATGTATATCAAGCGGCAGTGTGCCCAAGCCGCTCAGTGCAGAGCAACATCCATGCATTCATATACTGTACCTTTTTAAACACCACATGCTGGTCTTCTCATACCAAAGAAGTTGCATAGAGATAGCAGATTTTTTAAATAAAATCACACCCTTTTACGCTTCCATTATAGTTCCTTCCAATATATTCTTGTCTTTCTAGAGAGCTTCTAAAAAACACATTTGTGAGCATTTATTGTTTCAATCTTCAACCATTTGTTTTGGTTCCCGTAATGTTTTCTGCCTGATTTTGTTTTTCAGTGTTACCGTGTTTTAAAAAGAATGAGACACTTCTCATTATTCCCTTTTCTAAATTGGATCTGTTTGGTTTTTTTTGTTAACATTTCCATTGCTCTGCTTGTGTCTGCATTTTATGTTGGTTAACCTCTGCTTAAAGCTGAATATGTATGAGTTTTTAAGTTTGCAGTTCATTTCCCGTTCTTCGTCCTTGTCATGAGATTGTATTTGAAATGACTAATAAAGTCAGTTGAAAAGCATATTTGTTTGTGTTTGCAAATTATGTCATTTATGTCCTAAATTAATACATTTTATAGTAAAAAAACATATTAAATACCTCCATTTTCCTTTAATCGTGCCACACATTCATCAACATTGTCACCGTTGTCATTCACATCATAATAACACATTGTATTAAGCTTCAATGTCATGTCTGTGTTGTCTACATACTATATTTAAAAGCTGTGACTTAACCGGTCACAGCTGTATTTTCCTGTATATTATCTCACTCGTCCTTTCTGTTCCTTTTCCAGAGGAAGGTTATGTGAAAATGTTCTTGAAGGGTCGCCCCGTCACCATGTACATGCCCAAAGAGCAGGTGGACAGCTACTGCCTGGAGGCCAGAGCCGAGCTGCCCGGCAACAAGCTCAAGCTGGACTGGGTGTATCCTTTTTTATCTGTTGCGGTTTGCCTTGTGGATTTTTCAGGAAAAGCAAGACACTTCAACATGTCTGCTTGCAATTTGAAAAGTTTTGAAAAATAATCTTCTGAAGAGAGGAACTCCAGATTGGCATGATGTATTTAAAGATAGGAAGCTGACGGATGTGTCTTCTCCTCTCGCTGCCTGTCAGAGTAGATCTGCTTCACTTTCTCCTGGTGAGGCTGCAGCACTCAGGAACAACCTGCACACAGTCAGCAGCTCCTCCTGCGCCTTTTTGTTCTCTTCCTTTCCTTTCCTTTTTTGTTGTAAGAATGAAATAAGGGTGTTGTGAGTCTCAGAGGAAGGCAACGGGAAAAAGACGTTTGGAAAAGATACATTTGATCAGCGAGAAACACACACACACACGCACACACACACACAAAACATAGTTATGTGGGCTCAATTTATTCTTTTATTGAATCCAGTATGTACAAGAAAAAATCCCATGAATCGTGTCTTGATGTTATTCTTCATGCCTGCTGGTTAGAGTGTAGGGATATAGAACTATACTCATTATCAATTATGTTATCCATTATTCTCTCGCAAAAGTGCCTGTCCCAATCCCTACACTGGTGTCCTCAAATATATATACATGTATATTTAAATATACTTTAATTTCAATAAATTCATGAAACCGTCCAACCACAAAATATGCAATTTATTTGCATTTATTATTATTATTATTTGATGCACCTAGTGATGCGAACAAAGAAAGCACAATTGAAAAGAAAATCCTCTTATATACACACATGTATTAGCAAACAACTTTATACGTGAAAGTATACATTAATGCATCCATCTTCATAGCTCTTATTTTGTCCAGCAAAATAAATCAAATCTAAATATATTCAGTTTACTAAAAGAGAGAAAAAAAGGCTTGCTTTAAGGCTTACTTCATTTTCTGTCAGTCAATGAGTGGTTTCAGCTTTACTTTGATTTACTTTCAGTGTTATTCCTTGACCTTATTTTAATATCCAGTTATGGTTACCGTGGTCGAGACTGTCGCTCCAACCTTTACTTGTTGCCCACCGGAGAGACGGTGTACTTCATCGCCTCGGTGGTCGTCCTGTTCAACGTGGACGAGCAGCTGCAGAGACACTACACCGGACACACGGATGACATCAAATGGTGAGAGACACTTGTTAGGGATTACAAAACACACACACGCACGCACGCACGCACGCACGCACGCACGCACGCACGCACGCACGCACGCACGCACGCACGCACACACACACACACACACACACACACACACACACACACACACACACACACACACACACACACACACACACACACACACACACACACACTTACCCGAGGGAGTCATCTACTGCAGCCTGATTTCACATCTGTTAGCTTACTTCCAACTCTTTTTTTCCTATTAGACTTGATATGTATCCCACTTCTGCTATCTTCACCGCCTATACAGATTATTCATTATTATACAGTGTAAGTGCAGAATAACTGTAATGAAGGGAGGTGAACGGCACAACAGTGTTCATGAAAGTTGACCTGTAGGAATGTGTGTATAGCAAAAAGGGTAACTTAAAAATACACAGCTAATATTATGTTATTACATATTAAGGTTAAAATAAGTTCAAATTAATAATGAACGCTTACAGATCATAGGATGGATTTAAGACAGATTCGTACTCCTTTGAAGACAAAGTGTGTGTGCATCATACATGCTATTAGTGCTACCGGGCCCCCATACCCCAAAAGGGGGTGAATTTATCTTAAAGTGTTTAATTCCCCCTCACATCAGTACAGACAGTGTGCGGAGCTACAGTGAATATCCTTCTTTCATGTTCTGCGAGCATGTTGCTCATCTTTATTCAAACGCTCCTCTTGATGTTGAAAGCCCTTTATACTTTTTTCATGTCTTTCTCTTCACCAGCCTTGCCGTCCACCCCGATAAAATCACCATAGCAACCGGGCAGGTGGCGGGCACCTCTTCGGATGGAAAAGTAAGTGAGGTCTCCTATTGATGTTTTATCACTTCAGCCTGATTAATTAGCGAAGAGAGGAGTGTTGATATTTTCTTTTTGAAATCATTTTGACGCAGCCGGTTGAGACAATCCTGTTTGATAAACAGAAGTTGAAATGAATTGCTCAGCCTTGACTTATATACGTGTACTTTACTAAGCCTCACATCGCATCCTACTGATGAAACACGTGTGTGTGTGTGTGTGTGTGTGTGTGTGTGTGTGTGTGTGTGTGTGTGTGTGTGTGTGTGTGTGTGTGTGTGTGTGTGTGTGTGTGTGTGTCAGCAGCTGGCTCCTCATGTCCGTGTGTGGGACTCAGTCAGCCTCAACACGCTTCATGTTCTGGGATCAGGCTTCTTTGACCGAGCCCTGGTCTGCCTGGCCTTCTCCAAGTCGGTAAGGAAGCACCACTGATAGTTATAACAAGGTGGTAAAGGACCTTTTTGAATGTACTTTGCTTCAGTTGTGGCAGTAAATGACCATGGCTTTGTGTCTTTTTACATGTGTCAGAATGGAGGAAACACTTTGTGTGTCGTGGACGACTCCAATGACCACGTCCTCTCCGTCTGGGACTGGCAGAGAGAGGACAGACTGGCTGAGGTCAAGGTTTGTGTGCACGTTTGTGTGTGTTGTTTTATTAAGACATAACTCACTGCACAACTTATTTTTCTATATTTGAAAAAATATTAATAATAACACCATTAAACCCACATTAAGAAAATAATTGTTTGGATACAAGTTGAACTGTTATTGTATTTTGTAATTGAATTTTTTCAGAGGGAGTTCCAGATATCTTTGTATCACTCCATAAATCAGAAAATTATGTCAAAAGCAATAAAACATGTTTGCTATGTTTTTAGGAATTAAATGTAAAGTAAACCATGCTATACTGTTAATGAAATATGAACTACATATTTTAGACTAGCTTTAACTATGAGAAAATAAAATGTTGTTGAATACCAGTTAATACTTAATAATTAAGAGATGTATTTATTGTACTACAATTTTTCTGAAATGTAATCTTTAAATTCACAAATGAGGCTTTATCTTACACTAACTTTTGTTAGATTTAGGAGAAAAAACCGATGCAAAAAGACAAAATCTAGTAAAATAAACACCTCATGTTTTATTTTGAGGTTTTCTCTCCGCAATTCTGAATCCAAACCTTAAAAAATGTACATGAAATAGAATGTTTTTGCCTCTAGTGTCTCCTTTAATGGGTGAACATGTAATATCAACAACTCACTGTTTCTTGTTTTACATTGACCGTTTAGTGCTCCAATGAGTCGGTGTTTGCAGCAGACTTTCACCCGACAGACAGCAACATCTTAGTGACCTGCGGCAAGTCCCATCTCTATTTCTGGAACCTGGAGAAAGGCATGCTGGTCAAGAAGCAAGGACTGTTTGAGGTAGGACTCCCACATGTTCTCCACATGTTAGGTCATTATCAGAAAGCAATTTGATTTTGACACAGGCACAAAAGCTATTACGAAAGCCTGTGTTATACGATCCTATCTATAGCTAAATAAAGATAATCAATGGTAGCCTGGCATATGAAATAAAACAACATGTGTGTGTTCTTGTGTTTCCTGCAGAAACAGGAGAAGCCGAAGTTTGTGTTGTGTGTGACCTTTGCAGAAAATGGAGACGCCATCACAGGAGACTCAAGCGGGAACATCCTGGTGTGGGGAAAAGGCACGTTAAATGCTCATTCCTTCAACCTTTATTATTTACAGGGATCCAATTAGATCTCTTTTTGTCTCTGATTTATCTATCGATCACCCTGTCTCTCCGTCTGTCTCTTAATCTGCCCTTCTCGTATAGCGTTTGACCTTTATGTCTGACTTTGTCCAACTGAAACTTCTCATCCCTTCTCTGTCATGCAGGCACTAATCGTATCAGCCAAGTCATCCAAGGAGCTCACGAGGGTAGCATCTTTGCTCTGTGCATGCTGAGAAACAGCACTCTGGTGTCTGGAGGGAAAGACCGCCGGCTCATCTCCTGGGACAGCAGCTACCAGCAGATACAAACTGTGGAGGTGAGGAAAACCTCCACAAATATACCAAGGCTGCACATGAAAAATAGAAAATGGACATTTATAAGTCAAACTTTTCAAAGTTATTTCATTCCAGTAATGCATAATGATGAGGTTATTTGATCAGACTCCTCCATTTCCAATGTGCAGCTCTACAGCTTTAATGATCGGATCTGCTATAACCACTTTCGATTAATATGCTTTAATAAAACGTTAAGCAGCATATCCAGCTCCTTCTTCTAAAGTAGGTTGCTTATATCAGCCAGAATTTGCACTCCTGCCCGAGGCGGAGGGCTTTGCATTTTGGATGCTGCGCCAGATCATAAATATTACAGAGGATGAGATGGGTTTGTGCTCTCAATGAGATTCATGGATATTTGATATTTCAATACTGATGGGAATTATGGATCACTCATGTCTTACTTGCTCTACAGAAACCACATTATTATTATTATTATTATTATAGTTGTTGTTTGTTCTGGAAAACATGGAGAATGTATTCCAGGTTAACAGATGGTTTACATTATTTCTGTGATGCTTCCACAGGTGCCTGAGTCGTTCGGTCCCATCCGGACCATAGCAGAGGGCAGAGGGGAGACCATGCTCATCGGGACCACCAAGAACTTTGTTTTGCAGGGCAGTCTGGATGGAGAATTCATACCTATTACACAGGTATATGCAACTGTCTCGTACACTAATTCTACATTTAAGAGGTTCTGCAACTTACAAATATTTTTATTAGCGATAAATCTGCTAGTTTCTGAGTCTATCTGGTCCAAAGTAACATGTTCAAAAGTCTTGTTATGTCTGACAAACAGCTCACAAACAAAATATATTCTCAACCAGCAATATTTACTCAATGGGAATACCTGGCATCTGAGAATATTAGGCCTAAAGGGATAATGAAATTATCAAAATCATCGTCTATTCGTTTCCTGTTCATCAATGAATAATCAATTAGGTTAATCATTAACTGTTGCAGCTCTACTGTGATGTTTAAGTGTCTGACAGAGTAAAGGTTTAACTTAAAGGCTCTGATGTTGTAGCAGATGAAGAATTATTGAATGGAAAGTGCAAAAAAAACTCTGCTTCCTCTCCTCTCTCCCTCCTCTCCTCCTCTCCCCTCACCTCTGCAGGGTCACACTGATGAGTTGTGGGGTCTGGCTGTTCACCCCTCCAGGCCTCAGTTCCTCACCTGTGGCTACGACAGGCAGGTCTGTATGTGGGACTCCAGCTCCCATCAGCTCGTCTGGACCAAGAGTATGGAGGTAAGTTAGCCAACACTGCCCTCTGGGGTCAGTCACAGGAATGACACAGCACACAATAAATAATGAATCATGTTCCTTTGTCAGGTGTGATGTCCTTGGGAACCAAAGAGAAATGCTAATGTAGCAACTAGAAAATGATAAACTGTGCATGGAAACAACCAGATTATATTACTTTAAAATATGTTGCAAATTGAGCCACGATTGGCTTAAAAAGCAGTTGTGATCCTGCTTGAACATGCACCTGGTTAACTTAAGATTTAAGGTGAGCAGAGAAACCTTCCCTGTTCAGCGTGATATATCTATATATATTAAATAAGCGATGCTCAAAAATGCAAATAAAGTAACAATAGACACACACAAAAAAACATATTATACTATTTTGCAAGGTATATCGAAGATAAGGGCTAGTAAGAAGCGTTTAATATTGTATGTGTTTTGCCCTGCTGTTTATTATTTCCATACAGAATAATTTGAATACATGCAGTGGGTATCAATTATTGAGTTTCTTAAGTTGTGTCTTCATTCTTTATTTTTGTCTTTGTTGGGAGTTCAGAGGGGGACTTTGATATACGTTTTCTTTTCTTTTGTCTCACAGGACGCTGCCCAATCAGCCGGCTTCCACCCATCTGGAGCTGTGGTTGCCATAGGAACACAGACTGGAAGGTAAGGGGATACCATTACCAAAAAACACAAAATAAATATTTAATTTACACGACTGCTTCAGCTAAATAGTTATAGGAAAACAGTCAATGACAGAATATTCTAGGTTAGATTTGAATTATTATCATTATGAAATGGAAGAAGGATCAGATCTTTGAGCTGCTGTGCTCCTGCAGGTGGCTGGTCCTGGACACGGACTCTAAAGATCTCGTCACGGTTCACACCGACGGAAATGAACAGCTGTCTGTTGTCTGCTACGGGCCAGGTATGGTAATAACTGCTGACAGTGCGTCTCCACTGTGTATGCAAAGTGTTGTTTTGCTTTTTATTATTGGAAAATGTATGTGTGTATGTTAAAGGAGAATATCAATGATTTTACAAGCTGGAAAACATGTACCATTTATTTAACTACTAATAATTTTCCTTTATATCACTTTCTTTAGATGGTAACTTCATGGCTGTGGGTTCACACGACAACTACATCTATATCTATGCTGTGGCGGAAAATGGGAGGAAGTACAGCCGAGTGGGGAAGTGTTCGGTGAGCACCTGTATTTATAATCCCCTCTTGCTCTGTTATTTTTACATTCCCGCGGTATCTTCTTTATATTTAGTTCCCCTCCTCATCCTCTATATTTGGACCTCCACTCTGTACACCCTGTCCTCACTGTGTGTTGATGCAGAAGCTGTAAAGACGTAAATTACAACATGAGTCACACAGTGCCGGGGTCTGAGTAATCATGTTGGCGTGCTATTACAAATCCTTTCCATATTTTAAGGACTATTTCTAGTGCTTGGAAAAACCATACTGCATCTACTCCAGGAATACTGGGGTGTCTCCAAAATTAAATGATCTAACTGGTTGGTTTCTGTCTCACATCTCAGGGTCACTCTAGTTTCATCACCCATCTGGACTGGTCAGTGGACTCCCAGTACCTGGTGTCAAACTCAGGGGATTATGAGATACTGTATTGTAAGTCTGATCACTATCATCCTCTTACAACCTTTGCTGTGTTAATGGGCTAAATGCACTTTATGTTACATATATTAATGTGAGCAAGGAAAAGTTCCTGCCAAATTCAAAATAGATATATGTTTGTCTTACCTTAGCATTTATCAATCTAGATTTTTTTTTCATGTGTGAGTGTTTAATTTTGGAGATATATTGCTTTTGACACCACAATTCTAATATATTCAAGAGAAGGCAGACATCTCTACAACCCAAACCTGGCACACTGCTTCCAACTCAAATAGCTTTTCAAGTTAAAGGAAAAATATGTATTATTGTTTAAGAAAGCTAACTGTTCCTTTCAGCGTTCTCTATAAAATAAAATATTATTTAGTTAAAATAACAGTAGCTTGATTTATGCTAAAACATGCGTATGTATGTGCTTTCCCAGGGATCCCATCAGTGTGTAAGCAGGTGGTGAGTGTGGAGACCACCAGAGATATTGAGTGGATCACACACACCTGCACTCTGGGCTTCATGGTCTTTGGTAAGTGAAGGCTCCCTCCCACTCTTTAGGTTTTCTATTTATTATTTGAATGTCCATGAATAAGACGTCTCCGCTGCCGCTTCTTCTCCTCAGGCTTGTGGCCCGACGGCTCTGACGGCACCGACATCAACGCTGTCTGCCGCTCCAGTGATAGAAGCCTCGTGGTTACCGGGGACGACTTTGGGAAGGTCCACCTGTTCTCTTACCCCTGTTCGCAGTTCAGGGTGAGATACTGTTCAACATATGCACCTCAGTAATGTCTTGAAGAAGATTAAGTGTTTCTACATTTAGATTAATAGTTTATGGAAAGACAAAGGGCAGCATTCATTCTTTGCATTTCTTTTCAGGCTCCCAGCCATGTTTATGGCGGCCACAGCAGTCATGTGACCAACGTGAACTTCCTGTACGACAACGGTTACCTGGTATCAACTGGTGGGAAGGACATGAGCGTGATGCAGTGGAGGATAGTCTGAGGGAGCCTGCAGAAACTACTGATACTGTTGGTCTCTCTCTGCTGCTGGGGCCTTAAACCCAGCTAAAGCAAACTGAACTGCACTAAACTGAACCAAACCAAACTTGACTTAACACGGAATACAAAAAAAAGGTTTGATCTGCCTGAACTGAATTGACAGAAGAGGACCCCAATGTTTTCTTCCTGATCTGCTCTCAGATCCCAAATGACATGAACTGTTGCAAGTGTTATGTGCGGTTGCTTGAAATACAAATTCTTGAATATTTCACGATTTTCTCTACTCACACTACATGTAAAATACAAATCTTCCGTACTGTGGCCAACTCACCAATGACATAACAAATCAAGTGGATCAAATCCAAGTAAACAGAACCAAAGGCTCTGAATTTCTGACTGCATCTGTATAGTTTGGGTTTCACTGTTCTTGTATTGTTCGTGACTCCTGCTGCAGAGAACGGACTGTTGACTGAATATCATCGCACTGGAGATCCAAGAGCATTGGAACAAAAACAAATTACGGAAAGGAGAAAATTGTGTTTTTCTAATTGTTAAACTTTCTTTTCTTTTTGTATTTAACAACTCAGGAAAGCTCTAGTTAAGCGGGACTCTTCCTTGTTATTAACATTGACATATCAGAACAAGCCCTTAACACATCCAAAAACAATGAAGAGAGATATCAACTGCGCTTAATATCTGATTTAATTGTCATTCATCTTTTTGTGTTACCTTATTATGTACTACCTTTACAGTCCAGGCAATTGTTGAATTTGGAAGGCAAAATAATTTAAAAACAGCATGGTCCAGTTTTATTTGATGTTACCCGACATTTTAAACTATTATCCTATAAGGGGATGATAATCACAAATGAATTTGGATTCAGAGTTAGGATTTTAACCATTTGATACAACATTTTCTGACCATTTTCAATGTTTGTGTGCTTCCACGTCTTAAAAAATACACCTTTCCTATTATTTATTTATCAAAGTCAAATCCTTCACTGCCAATTTCAGTTACCTTAAGTTTTTCCCTGCAATAAATCCCTGTTAAGTCCCATATTTGTAAATATACAGAGAGTTTTGAAACCGATACGAGCTAAATGATGGTGAATACACAGTATTTGAAAGTGTTTCAGATTTTTGGACTGGGTTTTTGTGTCTTTCCTTAGCCTCGAGGTGAAAGAAAAATGAAAAGCAAGCATGTTTTTTTTCTTCTTCTATTGATGTGAAGCCTTTTCAACTCTGTACCCATCTGCATTTTACTGTAGCAGGATCAGTTTATGAAGTGGGGAGTATGAGACCATTACACTGTAACTGTTATCGTCTGATGTGCACCATCAGTCACTGGCAAGATATTTAACTGAACTGAACCCTATTGAAGTTTTTTCTTTTTCTATAATGCACTGCTTCAGCCTGATAAACATACAGCAGGTCTATTTACCTGCAAAATAGGACAAGCAAAACACCATGTAGCACATTACCGGAGCTGTTCATGAACCAATGATGTCTTCTTTCATCCTTCCAAAACAAAGCATCTAATGGGTAACAGCTAGCCGACGTTATACACATGAATACACTTGATTTATTTGAGAGGGCTTCAGCAGATATGAGGCATATTGGTGTTTTTTTGAAAGCCTGACGGTTGGCTGTCTGTAAACCACTTAAATCTAACTGCAGTGATATAAAGTCGCCACTCTACAGAGTGAATGTAACATGATTTGTCTTACCACTAAACACCTGGAGCTGCAGAGAAGCAATTAACATGTGTCTGAAAGTAAATGCAACATGAAATTCCTATGAGACTGTGTCTTGTACTTTCCACTGAATCACTGTTTCATTATTTCAGTCTTTAAAAACGCTACGATCTGAATATAATGCAATTTTATATGCTGCCGACATTTGTTTATAGAAATTGACCGTATGGTAAAAAGTAAATGTGGCATCTTATTACTGCAGAGAACAACACTAAATGTTATTATTTAATTATTGTTTGTATTTGTTTAAGGGACAGGTATGTAGCATAAACCAATGCCACAAATCATATTATTTATAGCCTATGCCACTTTAGAATGCCTGTGCCTATTTTAGCCTTTAAAATAGATACAACTCAAAAACACATACAAGAGAGAGTACAACATCACAATAAGTACCAATATTAAAACACAGAACTCAACCAGAAAATACAGACTCAGACTCTGAATATTTTATTGACCATTAGGCCTACATTGAAATATAATGGAAAATTGTCTTTGGCAATGGCCAATACAATTACAATTGTAGTGGGTCGGTGGGCTTCACGTGCACGTCTTAGCCGCAGGTGGGCAGCATTGAGCCGGCGTGTCCCCCCCTCTCCCTTCTTCGCACGAAGCATTAGCATTTGTCCCCCAAATCTCTCTCCACCTCACCAAAACACTCCGAATGGGAAGAGACTATGGACTGAGGGAGGCGGCGGCTGACGACCACCTTTTACCGGCTTCTACCGAGAACGATCCCCGGCAGAATATGGACTTAAGGAACGGCGGCGGCGCGTGGGGACAACAGAGACAACGGAACACAAAGCGCACGGGAGGAAACGCTCGTGTCCTCGCTTAGCGTTTCTGCATCATCGGTATTATCTCTACAGACGAACATAAAGGGACACAAAGTGGGAGCTGGCGGGCTGACGCAAAGCCTCGCGGGCTGTATAAAGTGAACAATAAGCGGACTGTTGGTTCTATTCACCGGCCTCCTCTGTGGCATCATCTCTGAATCAAAGACGAGAGAATGAGGTAAGAAGAAGCGCGGCACCATGCGCTCCGACTGACGCGGCATGACAGATGCTCAGCGACGCTCAGCTTCCAGACTACAACCACATTTCTGCATTTATCTTCTAATAATATGTTAAGCTTATATGATAGTGAAGAAATAGTGAAGAAGTGCGTCATTTAGACATATTTTGGCTCGTTTTTGTTCTTGTATTGTGTCCAATCCAGGGGCCCACCCAGCGGGCCTCAGCGTCATTTACCACTATATAAAAGGCAGTTAATGTAAATATATCAATTGTGCTGTTCACCCTTCTGTCAGCCCTCTTTTGTGACCACCGGACCCACCCAGTGAGGTCTATGCAGGTTTTATAGCCAGGCTAATGTTGTCATGGAAACGACAGCATCATGTTTTTCTGCACATACGGTGCACCTGGTGACTCCAAACGATGAATATGACCGATGCACCGCCCGGTGGCCGCAGCAGGGGGGCATATGATAAAGTGAGGTGGAGGATGGTGTTTATTCTGGTGGTTGCCAGGCAGGTTATAAGACCCCCACTTGCAACCCCCTTCTCACACAGACACACACACACACACACACACACACACACACACACACACACACACACACACACACACCTACATAAGCTCTACTCCATGACGGATCCACACATGCCCATCTCCAGCCTGTGGAAAATGTGTCTCATGTTTAAATCCTCATTGTATATCTATGCCTGTGTGGATGGTATTTTGAGCCTTTCCCTGCTTATGTTGGTATGCAGAATGCGCTGAAGGCCAAATCTTCTCCAGCACAGTCTCTGTATTTTTGTTCTATTTATGACACAGTCCTTTCAAATTTCCCCTTTGCTATCCCTTTAGTTTGACTCCCCAGTTTCTCGGTAGCTGCAGCCTGCACCATTCTGTTTCATGGCTTCAGATTTACACTGAAAGCTCTCCTTAGACACGCTAGCTAAGCTACTGGTGTCTGTATGTGTGTGTGCGACTGTCTGGGTTGGATTGCTGCTCCCCTCAGAGACGAAAAGGAGACAGAGTGAGAGAAAGGGAATGCTGGAGAGGAAGCCACAGTCGAAGTATTCCTGATACTCCTAATTTACCTCTTTCCCTTAACCTCACACAACTCAAAGCCTGCTGATGAACAGTTTTGTTCTCAGACTGTAGCCATGTAAGATTCATATCTTCTAGTCCCGTTGGATGAAGATGTCGTTTCTTCTTTTCTGTTCTGCTAGCTTCCCATCCTGTGTGTCTGTTGTTGCCAGAGGCAGATCAGCTCTTTGACTCGAGCCCAAAAGGGAAGTATTACATCTCCACAAAGCAACAACAAGATGACCTGGCTTTTCTTGTTGAAGAATAAAGAAGACAAAGATTCAATTCAATGAGATACTTTGTTCAGCGTCACTGCTTCCATTGCTGCATTTATGTAAGGAATATCAACGTGCACGACCATGCACGTGAGATATTTTTAGTCCAATAACATTAGTGGTTTCATTATGTGATGCTCCTGCTCTGTTCTCCTTGTCAGGCGGGCTGATGTCATTTGGTTGGTTGGATGTGTGTGTCTTTGTGTGAGAGGGAGGCTTGTGAGAGAAACATTGAAAGAGGGCAAAAACGCGAGGGCGTCTGTCCTGGACTATTAATGCAGGATGACTTCTGAGGCTGCATGTTGTGGTGACTCATCCTGGGAAAGGTAGAATGAGCGAGTGCAGCCAGTGGAAGGAAAAACGCTGAGTTATGCGTCTTACTGCAGGCTGCTGCTGCCCTCAGAGCTGATCTGAGAGCAGCTCCATGTGAGCCAGCGTCACCACATACAGCCACAACACACATACTCTCAGGAGCCTCACTGGCACAGGAAGAGCATTAGGCAGGGTAAATCAGAATTAAACTTGGCTGGGGATTTGTTACACATACTAATACCAATATGATACCTGCATTTCAGAACTAAAGGGTTTTCTTCTTCATCTTTTTCTCTTAGAATCATTTGTATTTAACAAAGGAAGCCAGAGATCCCAAATATGAACTGTGGATAACCAAACTTTGCACAAATAACGTATTCTAAAGCTTGCAAAAACATAAATCAGACACTTTTTAAACAAACAATATATAAACAAGATCCATCTCAGCAGATATTCAATGCTAGTTTTTGGCACTTGACATGTTGCAATATGTAAGGACACTCCTGTAGGTGTCAGCATTAACTGATCATTGAAATATATTGCATTTAACTATACAACAGCAGTCAGTCATATAACCAATATGGAGAGAATTCACAATTTGTATTTGCATAATTTTCTAGATCAGTCGTTCCCTAGAGGGTATCAAAATAAATCTGAGGAGTCGCTGGATTCGAGGTTTGGAATCCTTTGCAATATTATTTATCAATTTGTCAATTAGTCGATAGTTTTGTCTTTTGGGTAGTTAAGATAAAACGGAGGGAACAGATTCAAGATTATCTCCATTAAATATTCTGAGCATTTCTTTTTAAGCAAATACCATGTGATTACACCACAACACATTATATAAATGCACACTATAATCTGGTCATTTTCTAGCATTTCCCCTGCTTCATACACAAGCTTTGTGTTGTCAGAGATTTAACGATGGAAGGCATCATGTGTCCTTTGGCTTGCTGGAGTTCAAACACGCAGATGACCCCAGCACACACAGGTAAAAGCATTTACAGCTCAGCGAGGCAGCTTCCTGCAGTTTAACCCCATTTTGACACTACTGTATGTTCGTTAGTCAGCAGGTAGCTCTCCCGTTTTCACTTCCATTATGCACAAAAAATTGTAACAGTATGTTTTTAACAGTTGATTACCCTGAACCTTAAGTATAATTCAACTGGAAAAAAAAAAAAAAAGTAAATAATCGTTTAATTTTGATTATGTTGTTTTCATAATCGTTGCAAGCCAAAATCGTAATTGCGATTAAAATACGATTAATTGAGCAGCCCTATGCACAACATTACATTACACATTTTTGCTAGCTATAGCTTCTGCGGCTTGACTCATCTTTGATGCCTGTTTCATACAAGCTCTGTTTTGGAAAAAGACGAATATCTTGAATTTCTAGAATATTTCAGAGTGTGTTGCATGTTTCTTACTTTGTTCTAAACGCACAGAGCCCTTTAACCTTTCACCGGGGCTACATTGCTCTTTCTTTGTTTCCCACACCTCACTGTGGCAACAAAGCTTAATAATCTAAGTTTGTTTCAGCCAGATGGACCAGACCACTGGGTTGGGAACAAATAAAAGGTAACAACAAATGTTCCACCAGATCAATGCATCCTTTGTTGCTTGAACATAAAACTAATCATTACATCTGCTCCTGCTGTGTTCTTCATTTCTCAGCTGGAAAACTTGTGTCCTTTAATAACGCTGAATGAATGAAGTGGGTTTCCCTCTCTGTAGATAATTGATGATTAGGGGTTATGCACAGTTATTTAAAAATGTCCTTTTACCGTAGAATCTATTTCAATCTGAATTGTAGACGCGGGTTGTGTAAGCACTCCTGTTTTCCTATATAGGCTAACATGTAATTTCCATCCAGTGGAAATGATTCCTTGGAGGTTGAAAGACGGCACTCCACAATCCTCCGATCGGAGAGAGGTGACTGGTCTGCTCTGATCACATGTTCCTCTCCCTCTCTTACATTCCCTTACTCTGTTGCAACACTCCTCATCTCTCTCTCTCTCTCCCTCCCTCCCACTCTCTCTGTGTCTCAGTCTTATGTCTGTTCTGTTTGCGTGGTGGAGGGTTTTTCTTTTGGGAAACATTTTCAGAGGATGTGAATGAATAAGGGGAAAGGTTGAGTTTTGCTTCGGCGTCGGACAGCATGTGTACGGCTCTCTCCTGTCAGACTGACACTTCCCCCTCTCCTCCATAATCTCCCTCTTTATACCTCCTTTCATCCTTTGCCTGAGGACTGGGCTGTCTTCTTCATCGTCATGTATTCCCTGGACGATTTTGGGTAAGCCAAAGCGACTCCTATCATTACCTCGTTCTCTATCTGTTCTTTAAGTTGTTCTGTAATGTGTG